CAAGATTAACACCAGACATACAATCAAGCAGTAAACAATACCCTAATCAAGGAACTACCAGGAAAAAAAATCCCACCAACACAGGCAGGAGAAGCCACTGTATATAAACAGAGAGCAAACTCCACTCCATTGAACTGAAACTGTTACCTAGCTGGGTAATGAAACATTTGCAAGAAAACAACCAAGCTCGGAGAATCCCAAGGACTCCATACATGCCAGTTGCCAAGTGCCCAAATTTTGAACACATGACTGCGGGAACGTTGCAACAGTCGTAAGTGCGAGGACTGGTCATAAGTCACTTTTTTCAGCACTGTTGTAACTTCAAACAGTTGTTAAATGAATGGTCATAAATTGAGGTCTACCTGTATTGATATAGAGGAGAGACTAACAAGTGAAGCCCATGTTTCCCTCCTGTCCTGTATAATGTGATTGTTCTGATCATGCTCAATTATTATTATTTCTCTGGGGTTTTAGCTCAGAAATGGTTGGGAGCCATATTGGCACACATTTTATCCCATTTCCTTCCTTGAACACACTATACAAGTAAACTTTTTTTTTAAGTCCCCCTGCTTTTAAAAACACTTCTGTGACATGAACTTCTCATGAAATCACTGACTGGTAAAAATGTATTACAATTCAAATCAGGCAGAAGCATACAATCAAAATAAGGGAGGAGAAGAACATGATGACATATAATGCACGATGGAATAGTTGACGAGGAAGGCAATCTTGATACTTCTCATGCATAGCCAGTGGCAAAATTTAGCCACATTGGTAGTAACTTCCACACGCTGATCTGCATTAAAATCAGTGGCACTCAACTTACCATTGTTATTGTAGGCTACTGTTGTAATGAGCGTCCTTGGAATTCCTTGCCCAAAGAGACCCAGTTTGCTCCCCACTATGGTATGAAAAAGTTTCTTTTTGAAGGGCGTTCATTTGTTTGGAATAGTCATAGACTTTTGCCCTAATGAATTTTGCTGCTCTTTTTCTTGATTGGAAGACAGTTGTATAAAAGTCTCATTCAGTGTTGTTCAAACTTGGCAACTTTAAGAGGTGTGGACTGCAATTCCCAGAATTCCCCAGCCAGCATAGAATTCTGGGAGTTGAAGTCCACACATCCTAGAGTTGCCAAGGTTGGAAAGCGCTGCTCTAATTGAATACACCCTCAAAAAAGCATAAAGATGCAGCAATGCTGTGCTTTATCGCATGTTTATTCTGTTGTTATTACATTTCTGTCTATCTAGTTATCTACCTGCCTATCTTGTATTTTTCTTCCCTAGCCACTTCAATCATTTTGAAATGTATATACATATACATATACATATACATATACATATACATATACATATACATATACATATACATATACATATACATAGAGCCAATTTTGCATAGTGGTTAAAGCACCAGATTAG